ACATTTGTATGAATGAATAATATCAAGGGAAACTTCACCCCATTCAGCCCTACCCTGCCCCACCCTATATCTTAGTTTTGTGAAAGAAATTTCAGGATTTGCACTCAACTGTGTTCCCACAGTAAAGAATGAAGTCTTAATTGACTGAAATTGGGTTTACAACCAATTGGGCTAACTTATTTTAAAATGAAAAGATGCATTTCTTAGGCACTCAGATTTGCAGCATGAAACTTGAATATACTATGGTGAAGTTTTTCGATGACTAGAAAGAAGTATAGGCCCAGATTCTTATCTTGGGAAAACATCAGGAAGGAAGAACCATTAATATACTTGTCACACAGCCAATATGTTTGAATGTGCAACAAAATAGATGCCTTGGGAAAGAAAGTAAACTTCCCTCAGGGTGAAAAGACAGTGCTAGTATGAACTAATGAGACTTTTAGGTTGTTGTTAAATGCCGTCGAGTTGCAGGTGACTCATAGCACCCCTATGAAGGAGAGTCCTCAAGGCTTGTGTGTCTTTCATCCTCTCTCCAGATTCATAGGATTTCCGGAGGCAAGCTATTATGGAAGTGGATGCCACTCCTGCTTCCAAGCTTGTTTTAATCAGGGAGCTCCACCCCACACTGTCCGCATTGGGTAACCAACCATTAATGCATTTGACATCTCAGTGTCACAGTGTTCAACCTCACAGCAAGCACAAGGTACCATCGTACGGCAAGTGGACACACCAGGGCTCGAGGAATGTTTGAACAAAAACAATGAAAGATGGCCCTCGGGCCCTTCAGTATCTTACCATCCTGGCACGCCCAAGTGCTGGCAAACACTAAGCCCCAGACCGCCAGTTCTTCTAGGAAGTCAGCTCTGCCAACCCCCACATGAGGCTAAAAGAACACCACAAGTGCCCGGAGCCCTCATACCTGCCACTCCTCAAGAAGCCAGAGGCCGCATTCAGCTGACACTAAGTCTCCCAAGACCCTAGGCATAGCATGACCTTTCAGTATCTTACCATCCCAGCACACCCAAATGCTGACAGACTCTGGGCCCCAGACCCCCAGTTCATCTGGCAAGTCTGCTCTGCCAACTCCCACGTGGAGCAAAAAGAACACCACAAGTGTTCATATCTCATATGCCGTTGAGTCACCTGCGACTCATAGCAACCCTATGTACAACAGCTCTGAAAGCTGCTCTATCCTGAGTCAACCTTATTGTCTATGACACATCTACCTCCATAACTCCAATCACTGAATCAACCCATCTCATCAAGGGTCTTCCTCTCTTGTGCTTCCACCCTCCCAAGCATGACACCCCTCTCCAAGGACTGGTCCCACCTTGTAGCATGTCCAAAATATGTTAGACAAAAGTTCAGAATCCTTGCCTCCAAGGAGCAGTTTGGTTTTATCCTCTCTAGGATGAGCCTGTTTGTTCTCCTAGCAATCCATAGTATATTTAATACTCTTCTCCAACAACACAGCTCAAAGGCATCAATTCTCCTTCTATCATCCCTAGTTATTGTAACTATTGAACAATTACATTAATATCACATGCAAGCAAAATACTGCTGAAGATCATTCAAAAATGGCTAGAAAAGTACATAGATAGGGAACTTTCAGAAGTTCAAGC